ATCGCGCAGAGTTCCGTCGTCCACGAACTCGAAAACATTACTAAAAAAGAGGCTCATATCAGGTTTTTTTTTCGTTAACCAAGTAATCTTTCGCAATATTTGCCTTGCGTGAGGGGCAATACTGTATTATGTTTCCTTGGTTCCTTTCAAAATGATGACCTGCGTTTTACTCATTCTGGATGGAAGGAAAGCTTAAAACGAGGTCACCACTTCATAGCCGAAATCTTCTGCGCTGATCGATGAATCTCATTTGGAATTGAAGAACTTTCTGAAAATATTCTGTCAGACTCAGCGATAAGAAATTAGAATGCAGTACTTATTTCAACAAAGCATTGAATTCCAACGAATGTACGACGAAGAACATATTTAGGCATGAGTAATTTTAATTTTTGCTTCTATGAAAGAGTAGAAAGATTTCCGATAAATCTCGTCACATTTTCAGCAATTGCATATATCAGCCCAAGGAGAAGAGTTCCACACAGGTTCACTCATCGTTGTGAAAGAATGAAAATACCCGAGAGTTCCCTGATAATTTTCGACCGGGATTGACCTCAAGGTTTTTTCCATTTGGATAACTGCTGTTGACTTTCCTTTGTTCCATTGTTGACGCATGCATTCAAATCCTTAGAAAAAGGTTGTGCGTAACGATGCGTTTGGAAAACCTTAATGTTTGTGTTGCATGATGACCTAGCTGACCGGAGACATTAAATACAGTAAAACCTCACTAAGTCAAATTTCGAAGGATCATAAAAAAACTTTGACTCTGGGAGGTGTCAATATTGGAAGGTTTTGATTAGGTAATCGAGCATTTTTGTCGCAAGGAAAAAAATTCCTTCAAAATGTTTACGCAGTATAAGCGCGAGCAATGCTTTTTCAGCGTCTGAGAGTACCAACAGTATATAAACATCTGGAAACCCTGAAAGAAATTTTAAGCACATTATTTCGTCGTCAGAGTACGGGACATGATCGTATGAGTCAAGCTTTGCTTTGCGTTTGTATTTTGCTGCAGACAAACGTGGACTCGTGTAGAAGTAAAACTTCCAGGATGGTTTTTCGGATACCGTATTCCGCAGATTAAAGGGCAAACACTGAAAAAAAGGTTGCGCTTAGTTCCAATCATTCAGTGAAAATCAGGTCAACCGCATCATGGTTTTTGTTTTCGCAATGCATCGTCAGCTTCAGTCTCTCGTTTTTTGGGCAACGCTAAACGACAATTTCGCACAGAAACTTATCGCCCACTTGTGTTGAATCACAAAATGCATCAGTAAGCCCGGTTTCGCCAGCATTATAAGAAAGACAATTCTCCTTTGTTTCTTCGCTCGGTTCGTTAGCAGTCCACAGTTGATCAGGATCATTGACGCGATTGGCAAGAATGTGCGTGTTTCCTGCGAAAAAAGAAAAAAAATCGATCAAATCGCATCTTCTTAGGGGAAAACATAACCTTCTTTGTGTAGAAAAAAGCTTTCAAAGCAAATTCAATAAGCACAAAGGTGATGACTGGCGCACAAACCTCATGCTGATTCATGCCACACCCCATCAAACCTTTTTTCCCAGGAACTTATGGTAAAGAAGTCCCAGGTTTGGAAAACTTGTCTGTGACCTTGGATAACAGGACAAGTTATCCAAACTCGTCCATATCAGGCAAGGCCAGAATAGACCTGTTTGGATAAATTTTCTGTGGAACTCTCCCATGAAGGACATGTTGGGATCAGTTTTGGACAAATTACAGATATGGCAGACATCATTTGGATAGTATTAGGACATGCTTTGTGCTTTGGAGAATATTTGGATAAAATTTGGATAGTTCCTTCCTCACTGGGCAGTCAAAATTATTCATGCTCTTTGTCTAGATATTTGTGACCAGGGTTGTTAATTGTGCCACAACTTAGCATAATCACAACCACAATCATTAAAATTTTGATTGGGGAATACATTTTTTCACTCATTGAGATAGTGATTGCAATTGTGCACTTATTTTTTCAGGCTTGCAATTGTGCTTGGGATTGGCGTAAAAAAAATCAAAACCCCAACTAGTACCAAATAACTTTGGCAGTGCATGAATTTTTCGTGGGGAAATTGATTTAAACCAGGATCAACATTCAATGGAGAATGATAAACTTTTTTCATTAACTGTGTAAGTGGCTGGATGGTAGAGGATATATTGATTCTTATGGCTTCAACTTCAAACAGGTTGGCACAGAAAGAAGCTTAAAATATTTTTTTAATTGCACTTGGTTGAAAGAGTTTGGGCTATATTAAAAAAAAATATTTTTCTTTATTCATAACTTTTGGTACTTTACTCCTTTATCAAGGCACATGTTTTCTTTTGTCTGGTGAGAATCTGAATGGGATGAGAAAAGCTGCTTTCTAAGACTGAAATACAAATTTTTGGTTGCTGTGATCAATATCTTGCAAATAAATTTGTCTGGAAAAATATCAGCATGAAGATTTGCACGCCAGTGCTTCGCAATGTGAGAAGCCCCATTTTAAAGAATGAATTCTTTAGATGGAGGCTGAAATTCGGGAATTTTTCACTGCTTAAAAGAGGGACTCAATGCAGGGAAAATGATGAACAAAAAAATCTGCGACATGCATATTCCCGGGATAATCGTAAGAATGGATTCGTTTGTCAAAAGCATATCGTGAATATTCTTCGTGGCATTGATGCCCGGGACATTGTTGGACTTCAAGGAATTGTGGAGAGATTTGTGTTAAGAGTGATTTTCCCCAAGAAATTAACCTTGCAGTGTGTATACTCAATTTACAAACTCATAGACCATTCAAATGAACAAATTTAGAATGGAATACCATCAGGCATGACCCAGGTTCCCTCTGTTTTTGCGTCTGTTCCACCGACTAGAATCCTTGTCTTTGAAAGGGTCGCTTGAATGCGATATCGTTCAACAGCGGCGAAATTCGTGACATTGAAGAGATTGGCGAGGCGTCCTCCTTCGGATTCGCAAATTCGTTGAGCTGCGTCGTGACCCGAAACTGGTTCGTGATGCAAATTGTAATAAATCCCGTTGATTGGAGACCTTTCGTAACCAAAATATTTTCGACAAATGATGGACACTGGCCAACTAGTTCGGGTATACGAATCGTCATCCCAATCCAGTTTGGTCCCATCGCTACTTGACACTAGAAGGATTCCACCGTCATCCGGGTTCCACGATGCCCATTTCTGAAGAGGATCATTTTGTTTATTGTTGCTATTGAAAACGTCTCCTGAAAAAACAGTCATTTATTTTCTCATGAAAGATTTATTGTATCCCGCAATCGAGTGCTTGGCCAAAGAGATTTATGACATGTAAGTGAAGGTATCTTCAAATTCATATACCGTCAACGGTGACCCATCGACCAATGGAGTACGGATTCGACGTCAGCAGGGTTCCTGATACGAATTGCTTCCCAATTTGTAGCAGGCTCACAATGATTTTTTGGTCTGCTGCCTTGTAACATGGCGCCGTTGTGGCACCTTGGTTGTCGCAATGCTTGATATTGTCGAAGTACATTTTTTCGGTTGCGTAAGAAATATAATAACCTCCGTTCTTCATCAAAGTGTAGTTGAATGGATTTTCGATTGATACTGTAATATAAGATGGTTTATCTTTATAGCGATTATTTAATAAAATTCCAAACTCTTTGAGGTTCTACGCTCATTTTTAAGAGCGTTTGAAAATCGCGCTTTTCAGAATGAGAAGCCTATCACAAATTTAGTAGCCAAAACCCACTGGAAAAGTACGCAGAAATCTGGAATTCAAATCGGAATAAACTCACGGTGATAGAGTGTCTCTTCTGTGCTGGAATCCCAGGTAAAGGAGCCCATGGATAATCGACATGTCCTCTCCGGAGGGCTTCCGGATGTTTTCTGTAAGCTAAATGCATTGCAAACTTTTTTTGCGTTACAACGAAGTGCACACTCGATGTCTGACGTCACTGTAACGATTTCCGACGGACTTAGAAGAGTGCCGTCACAAATCTTGGAAAATTGTTGCGTTACACTGATGCTCTGCACTGGATTTATGAGTAAACTGACCGAGATGACGAACGGGGTAATTCTCCCCATAATGTTTAGGATCAGAACAAAAATAAATTTTCGAAGAATATATATAAGTTCAGGTCTGCTGGAATCAATGATTGAAGTCATTAAAAAGCCAACTTATAGAACCCCGATTTTTACCGTGATTAAGTGGCAGCATAAGACGACGTACGCGGCAAAATCTTTACTTGCCCTTTTTCGGATCATTTATTTATTTTTTAACACGCTGAGTTGTTGTATAAGAATTCGAATTCATGTACAGTATGTTAAAATCGCAATGATAGTTGCATCGTCCATGGACGACAAGAAACTACTGAACCTTGGGATCATTTCAGGAGTTTTTTGCTCAGCGAGCAAACGTTTGGATTTTATCCCTTGCGTGAGTGGCAGCTAAAGTGGATTGTTGGGGGATTAAGTTATATAGTATGACGAATTAAACTATCTGCCGTGTATAA